ATTAGGAGCTGATACTAGAAGAGCTGGATGAATTATTGATAAATGCACCTAAATGCAGGAGGATATCTTTTCCCTTTTTGTCATTAGCAGGTCTGTAAACATTAGTTTGAAGCACCTGGCAGTTTTATTAGTGAGCTATAAAAGAAGTCATTCTTAGTCTTTTGACTGATGATTCAGTAAATTGGTTGATAAACTGGAAGAAAATGCTGTTTCTACTACTACCACAGATCAGAGCTATCCTCTTAAGTGACACTTTTTTTACTGACTGATTTTCCTACACTTGTAAAGTTCTGTAGGAGCTTCAGTACTGAACACTGGCACAAATGAAAGTGCAAGCAGCGGCAAACATGAAGTTAAAATATGAATCCAAACACTTTATACTTACAAGCCTGTTTCATGCCTGGAAGGCAGGGGTCGCTGATTGTTGACAGCTCTTTGGTCCTCTTGTCCTCTTCATGCACAGTGAACAGTGAGCTGAATGACAGCTCATCTCTCTTTACTGCCTCTGACACACACGCCATCTGTCAGCACCACTGACAAGTGATTGCATAGGGTTATCTTACACTAATGGAAGTGCCAGCTGCAAAGAGGACTTAACAGTTGAACATTTTCTTCCTGTGCCCTGGTGGGGTGGAGCAGTGACAATGTTTCTTCTAATGTGCAGCGCACTCGTGTATGAAGGTGAAATGGATCATTCAAGCACCAATAACAGAAAATGAGTGCTCTCTGACTCAAGCATCTCCTGAAGAACACAATGATGTCCCTGTCTGCTTGTGGCTTTGAGTGTAGGTCTGATAAGATATGTAAATGGACTGTACTTAAACAGCTCCTTTCTATCTGATCAAGACACTCAAAGCTCTTTGCAACAATCTGTGCCTCATGCATACAGCTCTATACTAGATCTCTACAAAGACAATTGAACAAATCATTCTAAAGAGACTAATCAGAGCTTTATCACACTCATACACTGATGGGACACACATCAGAGGCTATGAGGGGTTCAGTGTCTTGCCCAGGGACACTTCAGCATGTGACTGCTGGTGGAATCGAACCCCCAACTCTTGCATTGTAGGACGACTGCTCTAACCCCAGGAAGACCAGCAGCAAGGAGAGAGGACAGGCCTAACGTCCTCCTGGAGCAACACAACACCTCCCTCTTTATACTGGTCAGGGCCAGCCCCTCAGGTGTTCCCAGTAATGACCTGCTGCACTCTGCTCACAGAGCCGTCCCTGCAGCAGCTCAGTCACCTGACAGGGTCGTCACCCCCCCAAGGACCGTGACCCCACAGAGGATCACTGGACCAAAAAATATCCTACTAAAAAATATTCTACAGAACTAAACTTTTGGCCTTAAGCTTGACCAGTTTCATACACACCGTCTTCAGCAACACGGCACCTGAGAAGCAACTTAAGAAGACAGTTGCAAACGGGACAAGGATTTCACCAGAAAGAAAGAAAAACTCCCAAAGGAGCGCGTGACAAAGCATCTGCAACAATATTGTCCTCACCTTTAATGTGTCTAATGTCAAGGGTAAATGTTTGCAAAAACAGTGACCACCTCATTAGGCGTGGGCTTGGACTTCTGAACGACTGCAGAAATGTTGCAGAGCTGGTGCCTCCTTTTCAACACAGAGCAGTTAGCTTGATACTGATTAAACTTTCTGGAAAACAAACTAACTGGCTTCACCTGACCACAATCATCCTGCTGCAGAGAAACTGCCCCGGCCCCCACTTGGCTGGCGTCTCCGTGAAGCAGAAATGGATGATGAAAACGTGGAGCTGCTAAAACAGGTGGTGAGCGCAACAAAGACTTGTTGTCAAAAGCTTTTTGACATCCAGAAGACCAAATATATTTTACTTTAGCTTTCAGCAACTCCGTCAGTGGGAAGACAACAGTTGAAACATTTTTACAGCAACTTCTGTAATAACTCACCAAACCCCAAAATGTTTGCAGTTCCTTCTTTGTTGTTGGTGCAGGATGTTGTACGACAGCTGCGACCTTTGCTGGCACTGGAACTACACAGCCACGTCCCAACACATGACCAAGGTAAGTCACAGTTGCCTTATCAAAGTCACATTTAGTCTGATTAACAGTAAGTTTGGCTTCTGTCAATCGGTCAAACAACACCTTGATGTGTTGAAGACTATAAATCACTATAAATGACCAAGTCATCCAAATAAACAGAACAGCCTTACAAGCCAGCTACAACTGTGCTCATCAATGTTGCTGGAGCTTTTCTTAAACCTAATGTCATGACATTATGAGAGTAGAGACCAGTAATGAAAGCTGATACTTCTTTTGCTCGTTCTGAGAGTGGCACTTGCCTTTAAGCAAATCAGCTTTACTTACAAATTTAGCCGACCCAACCTGATCAATGCCGTCCTCCACTCACGGTAATGGAAAAGAATCTGGTTTTGTTACAGCATTGATTTTTCTAAAATCTGTACAAAACCTGGATGGTCTATCTGGTTTTGGCACCAGAATACAAGGTGAAGCCCAGCTGGAAGAAGAAGGAGAAGTAATACCACTCTGAAGCATAAAAACCACTTCTGCATCCAAACGTTTAAGCTTCTCTGGTGACATGAGATAAAATCAGTGTCTGGTTGGAGAAGCCTCCTCGATGTCCACATCATGTTCAATCCAATGAGTGTGAGATGGATCACCACCAAACAAACAAGGATAGTTCCAAATCACAACTCAATACATTTATCCAAGTCATCCAAGTGACACACACTCAGAATTTTTCCAAGGCCCACAAAGCAAACTGTCACCTGGTTCAGGCGTTTCATCAACTTCAGCCTCGTTTGCCAGAGAAGAGACAAAGCAGGGAGCACCACCTCCTCACTCCGAACAGAAACGTGGTCACTGGCATAATAAGGTTTAAGCAAATTCACATGACACAGTTGAACGGACGTTTCCCTGTTTGGGGTTGAAACCAAGTAATTCAGATCATAAGTGCCATAAGTAAGTTACTCTATAAAAATCAGAACTGCACATAATTTATGACAAAAATCAATCATGGTCAAAATTATTTGACCTTTACAAAAAGCATTAAAAAAAAACCACTTTCAAAATGGAACCACAATTCTACAAAATAATAATAATAATGATGATGATGATGATGATGGTGATGGTGATGGATGGATTTTTTGAATCTCGTCTACGTACATTGAATGGTCAAAAAACAACCAGTTTTATTTGAGTTCTAATTTGACAAAATATTAATTAAAAAACATTGAACAATGTAACTTGATTTTAAAGAACATGATTTCAGTAGAGCCAAATCACTGAACACACATTACAACAAAACGTTTCTCATCAGGTTACATACAAACAGTGGCACCGCAACGGGGGGCCAGGGGGCCACTGGCCCCCACATTTAACGGTCCTGCCCGACAGCTGGTCCCAGACATTACACCCGCACCTTCACAATCGTGCACTGCCCGCACATTGTCTCGTTGCTGTGCAGTTAGTGCAACTGCACAAAGTATCGAGTTCTCTCTCGCCTTATAATAAAGTGTCAGCCCGAGCGCAGCTCTCTACCTGTCTGTGTGCGTGCAGAGTGGAGGAATGACCCCCCCGGTCAGAACAGACCTGTGCCACGTGATTTGTGTAGCGACAACGGAAGTTTATGAAGAGGTAAAAAATTAAACCAATGAAATCACAGGCAACTTTCATTCCAGTCAATCGGCGTCTTCTGGCGTTTCAGCGCTGACGTCCAAAGAAGCTAAGTAGCTACAAGCAAAGTTCTTGTCTTCTGGCGCTTTCTCAAGCTTTTTACTGCATATTTCATTGCATACCGAGGAATAATGTTTGACTTTGTGGATTTATCACAGAAATTTAGGGTCGTCCAAAGAGAAACAAAGGCGGTAAGTGAGCTAATCCCATGACTTGTAGTCGTTTTTATCATGCTAAGTTTTAGCAAACAGTTGTGCTCGTTGTATGTGTGGATGGTCAAAGGAAAAGTCAGTGGTGAGAGCAGCTCTGTTGTTGTGTGGTCTGGATGGAGACTGACAAAAACACAGGACAAAGAACTGGAAGTGGCAGAAATGACAATGTTGAGGTTCTCCTTAGTTAGGTTCATCCAAAAGCCAGGTGGAGTTTGCAACTGCGCTGTGATGGCAGGTCGCTTGGAGAAAATTTAACCAGAGGAGGAGAAGCAGAACTGACCTTCTCATCTCTGAAATAAGAGAAGTAAAAAATAATGGTTCAGGACCTGTGGCAGCAGCTCTGTTCTGATTTCTGAAAGCAAGTCACTCAGAAAGAGCCGTCACATCATCTCTCCAGACATCCACTGCTCACAGAATCCTTTCCCCCTCAATAAACTTCTGCCTTTTCCTTTTCTTGTTCTGAAGACAACGGAAGTTAGTGTGAAAAAATCAGATCTTTTGTCATAAGTTCTCTACAAACGGTTAAACAGCACAAACAGAAATATCTATGAGAAAAAGAACACCTTAAAATATATATGTATATATTATTTTCAAAAGAAAGACTTTTCTTGCAAACTTTTCCAAATCTGATAACTGTGACAGTACCCATTTACATTAGTGGCAAAGTTGAGCATGTGCGCCTGACAGTCAACATGCGTATGAAGGTGGAGAAAGACCCCCGCGGCCCCCCCACCTCAAAAATGAATCCAGCGCCTCTTATACAAATCAAGACCGTCAGTGTCGGTGTTCATCTGTCCTTCGTTTCATGATGCAGAGAAAGAAAAGAATCTGAGCCTTTAATAAGTAACACAAGACTTGGACTTGCTGCGGTGAGCCTGTCAAAGATCAGAGTGGAACATAATCCAGCTGGATGCACCGCACTGACACGAGCCAGGCCACATCTGGATACACCGCACTGACACGAGCCAGGCCACATCTGGAT